CCCCTCACCTCGTTAAACCAGTAACACCCAGGGAAACTGAGTCCCACTCCCTCTGCATGCAACCCACTGGAAAAACACGAAAAAAAAACAAGAAAATCCCCCACTTCGTCACAGGCTCTCTGTCCCCAGGCCTCCTGGGCATGGTGGCCCACATGATGTACATGACCGTCTTCCAGGTGGCTGTCAACCTGGGGCCCAAGGACTGGAGACCCCAGACCTGGTTCTACGGCTGGTCCTTCGGGTGAGTGACCCCGGGGACATGGGGCCTTTCCCCTCTAGGGGGCGCCAGCTCCCATATGGCCCCCAAGTGCCCTGCTACTCCCCCTGTTCTGGGGACGCACGGTGGAGTCCATCCTGGCCCTTTGGAAGAGCCCCGGAGATGTTGGACAGATAGGTGCATGGCTGGGGAGGGGCAGGCCTGGGGGACGGACAGACTGAGGGACAGAGGGACGTGGGGCGGCTGGATGTAAGGGTGGGTGGGAAATACATGGGCCGATGAGAGGGTGACTAGCTGGCTGGCTGGGAAGGGAATGGCGGAAGAGCTGCTGGATGGGAAGATCGCTAAGTGGTGGATGGTGGGTGGGTGCGGATGGCCGAGTAGATAGCTGGGTGGGTGGGTGGGTAGGTAGCTGGGTGGGTGGATGGATGGTTGAGTGGGTAGGTAGGTCAGTGGGTGGATGGGTGGATGGATGGATGGATGGGTGGGTGGGTAGGTAGGTCGGTGGGTGGACGAATGGATGGGTGGGTGGGTGGGTAGGTAGGTGGATGGATGGATGGGTGGGTGGATGGATGGGTGGGTAGGTAGCTGGGTCGGTCGGTGGGTGGATGGGTAGGTAGCTGGGTCGGTGGGTCGGTGGGTGGATGGATAGATGGGTTGGTGGGTAGGTCGGTGGATGGAGGGGTGGGTGGATGGATGGGTGGGTGGGTAGGTAGGTGAGTGGGTGGATGGGTGGGTGGGTGGGTGGGTAGGTAGGTAGCTGGGTTGGTCGGTGGGTGGATGGGTAGCTGGGTGGGTGGATAGGTTGGTGGATGGACGGACAGATGGAAGTTATGTGGAGGGGGCAGCGGGTACCTGGCTGTAGGGAAGAGGCTGGGGGTGGGTGGGAAGAGGTGGGGAGCGCAGGGCTGGGTAGTTGGGGAGCGTGGGGGGCTGTGGCTGGGGCGTACCACTCACTGGCCCTTGGGCTGACCCCACTTCCCCCCCCCCCCCCGCTGCCCGCAGCATGGCCTGGCTCTCGTTCACGCTCTGCATGTCGGCCTCGGTGCTGACCCTCAACACCTACACCAAGACCCTGCTGGAGTTCCAGCACCGCCGGCAGATCTGCGAGCAGCAGAGCCAGCGCGGGCCGCGCTCCCCCGGCCTGGCGCCTGACCTCCAGCGCTTCCTGTGGGACAAGTACGTCTTCAGCGTCAGCGACTCGCTGGACTTCTCCCCCGGCCGCTCCCGCCCCACCGCCGGGGGGCGCAAGGGCCGCGGGGGGGGCTACGCCGGCCTGGCCGGGGGGCGCTGCGGGGATGCCGGCGACCCAGACGATGGCGAGCCCTGCTAGGGGGTGTGGGGAATCGACCCACACAATTCCCCTCCCCCATTCATGCCCCCTTCCTCCTCCCCAATCCATGTCCCTTTCCCCTCCTCCCACAATCACCTCCTCAATGGGGAAACTGGGCAGGTGGTGCAGGGCAAGGCAGCCCCAGGGTCAGAGACCCCTAGTGGGGACGGCGCGTGGCGCAGGGCAAGGCAGCCCCACGGTCAGAGACCCCTAGTGGGGACGGGGCGGTGCAGGCTGGGGAAGCCCCAGGGTCACAGGCCGGGGCAGCCCCAGGGTCAGAGACCCCTAGTGGGGATGCCGGGCGGCGCAGGGCAAGGCAACCCCAGGGTCAGAGACCCCTAGTGGGGATGCCGGGCGCCGCAGGGCAAGGCAGCCCCAGGGTCAGAGACCCCTAGTGGGGACGCCGGGCGGTGCAGGCCAGGGCAGCCCCAGGGTCAGAGACCCGTAGTGGGGACAGGGCGGTGCAGGCCGGGAAAGCCTCAGGGTACCTTTGGTCCCAGCAGCCTCAGTCCAGAACCGGGAGTGATCCCGGCCCCAGCCTCGGGCCCCACAGCAGGAACCGAGCGGGGGAGACTCAGCCTGGTGGCAGCAGCGAGGGGCTCGCATGGGGGCGGGGGGATGTAACCACCAGAAGCTGGAGTTGGGGAGCGAGGCACCTCCAGGCCGCCCAGGGGCCATCACTGGGGAGGGGGGTGACAGTTACCAGGGCAACAAGGGGGAGAAATGTCACCCTGGGTCCTGCTGGTGTCACCCACCCCTCTGGGAATTCCTGTGGGGTCACCGTGACATCGAGTGGCCATGTGCGGAGCAGGCATAGCTGTGCCGGTGCCCCTCACTCCCGACCCGCAGCCCCCTGCTAGCCCAGCCCTGGGCTTCCCCACCCCCCAGCTCTGCCGGTGCCCCTCACTCCCGACTCGCAGCCCCCTGCTAGCCCAGCCCTGGTGCCCCTCAAGCCCCAAACACCCCCTAGTCCCCCCACCCCCAGGTCTCCTGATGCATGTGGAAGAGGTGTATAATTGCTGCTTGGTTCTGATACAGCAGCTCCCATCTGGGGAGATTAGAGGTCGTAACACTCCGTGTGATTAAAGAAATTAAGAATTAATCAGCACCAGCCTGGTTCTTCCGGCAAGAGCAGAGGGGGGAAGCGGGCGCCGTGCCAGCCTGGAGTCGGGAGCTACGCGGCAAAGGCGGCCACCAGGGCCTTTTCCAGCAGCCTGGCAGCCTCCTGGGGGCAACGCCTCAGCCCCTCGCTCCCTGCTGCTCCTGGGTGCATCGTCCTGCCCCACCTCTGGAGACCAATGGGGCCAAACGCTGCAGGAGCAAAGGGACTTCTCGCCCCACCTTGGGGGTGCTGGGGGGCTCGGGCTTCAGTTCTGGGGTGGTTGAGTGGCAGGCTCCAGCCGTGGGGCTTCGGGCACCGACCCACCGCTCCGGGCTCCGTCCACGCTCTCTGACCCCTGGCTGTGTAGCAGTGGGACTCAACCCCCCCCCATCACCCCTGGCCCCCACTGCCTCCCCCCTCCGACCACCCCCATCCACGGCTTCATTTATCCTGGGGCTTGCTGAGAAAAGTGATATTAACAAAGATACAAAGATCACTTTTTGCAGCATTATTTTTATTATTGAGTCTGCAAAAAGCAAAACAACCCAACCCCCCCCCCCAACCCAACAAAACAACCCTCCCCCCTAACCCTACATAAATAAAGGACAATGATTTGGACGGGTACATGTGCATATTGGTTTGTTTTTCCTAAAGTTCAGTATTTTAGGGGAAAGGGTCAGTGCAGCCCCCAGTGAGAGAACCCAGGAGTCCTGGCTCCCAGCCCCCACCCCGCTGTAACCACTAGACCCCACTCCGCTCCCAGAGCCGGGGAGAGAACCCAGGAGTCCGAGCGCTGGGGCGGGAGGGCGGGAGCTCCGGGAGGAGGAGCGAGGGGTGGGGAAAGCGGAAACCGCTTCCTCATTCAAAAGTCCCCTCGGCCAATGGGAGCGGCCGGGGCTTCCTGCCCCCCCATTTGGGATGGAAAGAGGCGAAATCGGAAGCGAGCGGCTGGTTGGAGGATTCGGAGCTGGGCCCGGGCCAGAGGTTCCCGGGATGGACCCCGAGAGGCCGGGCTCTGCGCCCCTGCCCTGCACCCTGCAGCCATCGAGCGAGCCAGGTATAGGCCGGACCCTGATCTCAGCCCCCTGGGCTCGATCCGGAGTCATTCCCGACTGCACTGGGGGCAGGGCTGGGTTCTGATCTCTGCGCCCCCCCGGGCTCGATCCGGAGTCATTCCCGACCGCACTGGGGGCAGGGCTGGGTTCTGATCTCTGCGCCCCCCGGGCTCGATCCGGAGTCATTCCCGACTGCACTGGGGCAGGGCTGGGTTCTGATCTCTGCGCCCCCCGGGCTTGATCCGGAGTCACCCCTGACTGCACTGGGGGCAGGGCTGGGTTCTGATCTCTGCGCCCCCGGGGCTCAATCCGGAGTCACCCCCGACTGCACTGGGGCAGGGCTGGGTTCTGATCTCAGCCCCCCGGGGTC